CCTTCTTAAAACGGTTAAGCCTGAAAGACTAACGGGTATAGTCACGGCGAAACAAAAAGGAAGTAAGAGCAGACAATTCCCACCATGATCACAGGGCCTTAATTTATGAATTCTGTAAGGTCATGTTTACGTATTTCTCCTCCAGCTGTGCCCCAGCAAATCTACAACTATCTTTCATCCGGTGAGTTGTTCAGAAGCAGCAATCTAGACAAATGTTGTACGGGTGTGAAATAAAAAATCGAAGCTCTGTCCGTTGGTATCTATATTTTTGTTGTTTTTGTGCTCAGTCACACCTGTGAGGTGCAAATTGCCGAAATGGAACCATGTAATAAAGCTATAATTATGCTGAGCTAACCTCTACAAGCATCACCACACACTAGTCGGATTTTATGATCTTGACTTCTTGATTCTTGCGTTCAACAGCCACCTACACGATGGGAACCGGTATCGTCTGGGTCCAGGATAGATAATTTCAAGCTCCCTAGAACCACCAAAAAGAAGTTGACTTTTGTAGCCATCCAATTTTCCTACGGACTTGTCAGACCACAACAAAGTCCGCTATCCAGGTAACTTGGAAGTGAAAACTGGGGCTTCAAATGACACAAACCATCATATATTTGATAAGTTTGACCTAGGACAACATTACTGACTCGCTGGTCGAATTGTCCTCTTTAATGCGCCCATAATGGCCAACACAAGTTCCCAAAACCGAGTAGGCATCTATTGGCCTCGTACTATCATGAGAACCGTGCTTATTCCTCAGAAGACGACATCCTAGTGGGCACTTTATGAATATTGTTTGTTAGATATCGTAGGTCTTACAGAAGAGCAGACGACTGAAATCTCAGAACAATCTGTTTTGTGCAGAAGAACAGGGCCTAAAAATTGGATCAGTAAGGGATGCGAATTTCTTCAGTTTCTTCAGATTGTGTCCCCCATCTGCTAGTCCTGGTTCTACCTAAAAACATATTTACGGAGCGGATCGCCTCATCGAGTCACGGATTTACATTGTGAAATCATAGAGTGGATCTCCAAAGCAGCCATCCAACTCTCTCTGCAAGTGCATTTTTAGTGCAAAGGTGGTTTTGGTACAAAACAATAGCAATTAAACTACTCCCGTAACGAAAAGCCGTGCGAAAAGATACAAGCTTGGAGAAGATACCGATCAGACCAGGATAAGTACAGGTCGGGATTTTGAAGATTTTGCTGCGAGCCACGTGAGTGTAAACCGGAGTTGATTCATCATGTAATACTTTTGGTACAAAACAATAGCAATTAAACTACTCCCGTAACGAAAAGCCGTGCGAAAAGATACAAGCTTGGAGAAGATACCGATCAGACCAGGATAAGTACAGGTCGGGATTTTGAAGATTTTGCTGCGAGCCACGTGAGTGTAAACCGGAGTTGATTCATGAAACATGTAATACATTCCTCACTACCGATCTTTTTCGCTACAGACCAATAATGTAATTTACATTCACATAATTCCCAGAGTTTTGAGCAAGTTATCATCTCTGTCAAAACAGTGTGTGGAAAGTACGATTGGGGCGCTGTTTCACTATTTCCTTTAGAAATACTACTCTAAGCCTTAACCCACAGTTGCAGTTATACTCTCTCGAGAATTCTCAACGTATCTGATTAAGGGAAGGCGTGTCACGTGTCCCCTGAAGAAAAGAAGCAAAAATTGGCATCACTGGCAACATGATGTGACTGTTCAACACTAATGATTCGCTTC